GCCCTGAGCAGCGTGGAGAGCCGCGCGTCGAAGCTCCAGGGAGAAGCCCCGAGAGGTCGGGGCGGCTGGTGCGCGGCAGCCGGGGCGTCGGGTCCTTCGAGTCTTTGTTCCCAGCCCCCATTACACATGCAGCGCGGGTCCCCTGCCGCCCGCGGTGGCAGCAGCGCGGAGTCTGGGAAACCCGTGAAGGGCGGGGCCTGGCCTGCAGGGGCGGGGCAGGGATCCCCGCGCTGCTGCGGGGGTGGGGATGGGGGAATCTCCGTCCCATCCCACCCCCACTCTCCCGCCTCCTTTGAATGTATCACCGCTTAGTTGTCTGCACTCGAAGCAGGTGAGTTCTCCCTGTGGAGTTTGGAGCTGCGTAGCCTGAGTGCAGGAGGAAGAGGACGGGGACCCCCTTATTGGTCCCTGGGTCCAGTGTGGGATGGGGCGTCGCGGCTCTTTTGGAGCCATTTCTTGTGTGGTGGAAGCAAAGTGATGGTGTTGAACTCTGCCTTTTAAGTGCTGCTCTGAGATGCTTCTGAAGAGAAAGAAAGGCATTGCCTTCCAGAGGAGCCGGCTTCTGACTCAATAGGCACGCGGCAGCCTGCCTGGCTGTCTCTAGATCCCTCTCGAAGGTCCCGGGCTCTTTCAGTCCTCTCCCTGCCTGCACAGAGGGCCTCCTCCTAGAACAGGACAGCCTCAGACCTGGAACCCTCATCCTAATTTGTCTCACTCTGGTCTCGCCAGTCTCACTTCCCTCCTTGATGAGACTCGGCAGGGTGGAATGGGGCCCCTGGAAGGACCGCGTTTCCCTCCTTCCCTCTGCTCCCCCCACCCGGCCTGGGTAGTGCTGAGCAGTGTTCCTTGCAGAGTGGGGCAGCTAGACTTAGACTGGAATCCAAGGACCTGTGGTCCTGCCCTAGGAGGAAGGTGGGGTCGCTAGACGTTTCTGGTGGCCACTGCCCTGATCTGTGAACAGCTATGGGAAGAGCTGCCTCAGGCGCAGGTAGGGGAGAGCTGGCTCTCCTGTTCTTTGAGTTCATGGATGCCCTTCCTTCCAGCTCCTGGCTTGCTGTTTAGAATTACCCCCGTCCTCTGCAGCACGCAGTAGGAGGGTCAAGAACAGCACTGTCCCACAGAAACGTAGCGTCAACAACATACATACCTTAAAATGTTCTAGTAGTTGTGTCAATAAATGGGAAAAGAAACAGGTGGCTTAGTCTGCTCGGACCGCTCGCTGTATTAAATACTATAGGCAGGGTGACCTAAATAACAATTTATTTCTCATAGTTCTAGTGTCTGGAAGTCCGAGATCAGTGTGCCAGCATGGTAGGGATGTGGCGAGGACCCTCCGCCTGGCTTACAGATTGCTGCCTTCTCACTGTGTCCTCACGTCCTCACGTGGCCTCTCCTCGTGTTTGGAGGGCCAGGTAGAGAGGGATCGTTCTTCCTCTTCCGCTAATCCCAAATTGAGGGCCCCACCCTCATGAACCAGTCTAACCCTGGTTACCTCCCAAAGGCTCCAGCTCCAAATACCGTCATATTGGGGGTTAGGGTTTCAACATACGAATTTTGAGGGGACACAGTCTATGACAAGATGAAATTAACTTTAATGGTATATTTATTTAACCTAATATATACAAAGTAATCGTTTCACCATGTAATAAGTATTAAATCACTTAATGAGATATTTTACATTTTTTTTTTTTTTTTTTTTTTTTTTTTTTTTTTTTTTTTTTTTTTTGGTACTATCATCAAAATCCAGCGTGTGTTTTAGAACATCTCAACTTAAACTTTCCCCAGTTCAAGTGCTCAGTAGTCCCATTTAGCCAGTGGTTTACCATATTGGATGGCGCAGGCCTGGAAGAAAAGGCAGAACTTCTGTTATGCTATCATAATGGCTCATGGTGCTTGTTACAAGATCACTGTTCAGTTAGTTCTGCAAGTTTTTTGGGTTCTGGGCCTGGCCTAGTGTCCTTGCGACAAAGTAAGTTATTTGGTTCTTGTCTTGCAATGGAGATCCTGGACACATGTCTGTATATCTTTTAAGAACTCTTGACCTCTATCTCTGTATTTCCGGTTCAAATGAGGGTAGGGTGGAGAATGTTCTGAGTGAAATGTCAGGAGCCACTAGAGGGGGAGGACCTGACCCTTGTCTGTCCTATCAGGAACTGCCCGCTTTGACTGCCCGCTTTGTCCTCATAGGCTGGCTACTCTCTGACCCAAAGATGTGTGTTTCCGCAGGGGAGAAGTGTGTGTGTGTGTGTGTGTGTGTGTGTGTGTG